AGCACTGATGTATAGGATTCAGGCAAGCCAAGGAAAAGTTTAAATGTTCATAGAGAACAGGTAAGTCCCAAGAACTTGTCAGTCTGCCAGCTGTTTGTCCTTTCTGCTGAGGACCTCTTTGGGTGCCTGAAATGTACAGTCCAATATTAAGAAAAATCCTCAGATCTATGCATCTACCTTGTGAGAGTTTCATGTCAATTAGCAGAACAGAAAGAGAGCATTTCAGACTTCTGCTAAAAGATTTCAGGACACAACAGGCATAACAAAAGGGGCTTTTGGAGATGTGATAGCTCTTGCTCAGCACCAGGATCTGAGAGGTGTTGGTGTACTTTCTGGTGGTTTCTGTGCCCATACACAACAAAAAAAGCCACTTCAGGCAGGAGTGTGGCTGTGCTGTGTGTGCTGCTGGTGCTGATTGGTGAGGAGGTTGGATCTCACTCACAGGCAGTGCCCAGGGGGTTTTGGTAGAACTTTTGGTATAGCTTTCTGGCTACAGAAAAGGCATCACGAGGCCTATTTGGTTGTAGCCTCTAAAGTTTCCCAGGAAATATCAGTGAAAGAGCTAAGAGATCTGGTTGATGGGTCACAAAATGCTCATTTCTGGAACGTAAACATAGGGTGCCAAATCTGGCAAGGGAGGTAAGCTTTGTACATCTCTGCCAGTGACCCTAGAATTGATAGATCTGACTGAGAAGTACAAGCACGATGAAGAGCTCGCAGGGCAATGTGTTGCTCATGAGTCCCTTCTCTTCCAGCTCAGGATGGACAACTCCAACAACAGGCGAGTTCTCAGGTAGCATCACACCCAGACTTATGTTAAGCAGTCATTTTGCACCCCAGTGGTAGAGCACATGTCAACCCCTGGCTTGTGGGCTGGCACTGGTGGGCAAGGTGGCAGCGAGGAGGGATGGCATGTGGAAGGTGCCAGTGGAAGAAATTTGCATGTGCCATAGGGGTACCAAAAGAAAGTGCTGTGGCATTCCTTAATGTTCGTGTAAATAGCACAACACAAGGCTCCTCAAATTTCTTTGTAACTTTCATATGTAGGAACCTCATGTATAATGGCAATAAAGTAGATTTCTTGTCATATGACAGACATCATATGGAAAGTGAGGTACTTACAGGGTCATACATTATTCCAAGTTGGAAGGGACTTCTGAGGATCACTGAGTCCAACTCTTGGCTCCGCGCATCACCACCCAAAATTCAGACATAATAGAACGTTTTTATATTGTAGCTGGACTTGCAGTGCAGATGGTTGTGCTTGAAAAAAGTTTCAGAATGTATCATTGGGACCATCAGCATGATACATAGCCCAGATTCCTGCCCTTGGCTTGGCTGTCATGCCCTTATCTAAGGGGAAAGGTGTGGCCCCTGGGACAAGCAGTTGCAGTGGTGGAGGCAGCACCACATGGCCTTGTGTCCTTCTGGAGTTGGCACTTCAACCTGGCTCCTTGGGGAGCAGCCAAGCTAACCTGGGCTTTTCTCACTTGTCCTGATGGGAACCTGGAACCTGAGAGCTGGGGCTGTTCAGCCTGAAGAGGAGACTTCAGGGAGACCTGAGAGTGGCCTTTCAGTATCTTAAGGAGGGCCATAAAATGGAAGAGGACAGACTCTTAAGCAGGGTCTCTGGTGAAAGGACAATGGAAAATGGTTCCAAATCAAATGAGAGGAGATTTTGGCTGGCTATAAGGAAGAAGTTTTTTGCAGTAAGGGTGGTGAGGTGCTGGAAGAGGTTGCTTAAAGAGGTGGTGGAAGCCCAGCCCTTGGAAGCATTCAAGGCCAGGTTGGGCAGGGCTCTGAGCAATCTGGTCTAGCTATAGGCATCCTTGTTCTTTGCAGGGGAGTTGGACAGCCTTGAAGGGCCCCCTCCAACTCATACAATTCTGTGATCTGCTCTTCTTTATGCTTATTTTCCCTATCCTCTCTGTGCTTAAAAAAACTGTTTGTGAGCAAACACAAACAGTTGTTTATTGTGTAGGCAATGTCTCCTCTCCTATGGCTTATTGAACAAGCCTGCATTCACTATTTGCCAGCTAAATTTGCAGACTTAAAAAAAAATATCCTTGCAGTCAGTGAAGTTATCCTTGTGCATTTGTACACCAACATGGCACTCACCTGCTGCATGGATAGACATGGAGTTGGGAGGGCAGCCGATGGCAGGGCTTTGACTGCTGCCCACACAGCTCTGCCTGCACAGAGTGTCCCACACTGCTTCCAGGGCACAGATACCAGGAGGTGGCCTGCAGCACAGGGTGAGTGATGTGACTGATGTGACAGCTGTGACGGGCAGGGAAGGCTTTGACTCAGTAGGAATTGACATGAAGGGTGTGACTTACAGTGAGGTCTGCAGACAGAGGCCGAGGAGAAAGGTGAAGGCATCTCCACACATTTGCAGAAGCAGAAGAATGTGCCTAGATGCTGCCTGCAGCCTGTTGCAGCTCAGTGAGGTTTCTCCTGCTTTCGTCTCCAACAGGAAGCTTCAAGCCTGTCGTGCCAGAGCTGCTGCCAATGTACACAAGCTCTGGCCCCTTTGGGCCTGATTTTTATGCTGTACAGTAGTTTGGGGGTAAAGGTTAACTCTCACTCCACCATAGGGTATTATTATTTTAAACTTTTATATGAGTCAGAGAGAAGTTAACTCCAGCTCACCCCACAACAGAAGTAAATTTACTTATTCTTTGTAGTTTTCCTCTGACTCCTGTCTTTATGGTGCAGTAAGTACTTGAAAAAAAGGGATACTCCCACCTCTTAAAGTTTAAATGTGGAGCTCTATGCCTTTGCCAGGCTACAAACCTACCAGCCAGCAGGGCAGAGTTGTCTGGGGTGTACCAAGGGGTTTGCTGAGAGACTGTTTTTATTGGACGCTCAGTAGACCAGCTTGCAGCAGAATTTGCTCTGAAGCACCCCAGGGTAGCAGGGGATGCAGAGCAGCCAGGAACTGTTCCCCTGGGATGTCATCCTGCACTGCAAACGATGAAATCACCTGCCCCATGCACTGACTAGAGAGCAGGCACGTGGCTTCCCTGGCCTTGGTGTGTTTCAGGAATGCAGGAAATGATGCTAGATATTCTACTGTGAATATGGGGATCACATCTGTGTGTGTGTAGGTTGGAAAATACCTCTGAGATCATCTAGTCCAACCTTCAGTCCATCCCCACCATGCCCCTCAGTGCCACATCTACACGTTTCTTGAACATCTTCAGGGACAGTGACTCAGTCACCCCTTTGGGCAGCCAATTCCAATGCATCCCCACACTTCCGGAGAATAAACTCTTCTTAGTGCCTAATCTTAACCTCTCCTGACACAACTTGAAGACATTCCCTCTCATCCTATCACTGCTATGCAGCAGAAGATGCTGACATCCACCACGCCATAACCTCTTTTCAAGTAGTTATAGAGAGCTGTGAGGTGTCTCCTGAGCCTCCTGTTCTCCAGACTGAACAATCCCAGCTCCCTCAGCTGCTCCTCATAAGACTTGTGCTCCAGACTCCTCACAGCTTCATTGCTCTTTCTCTGGACACACACCAGGACCTCCTTGTAGTGAAGGGCGTAAAACTGGGGGCAGTGAGATTGTTAGAATCACATACTGCCAGCGCAGTACATTTTGTATAGAAACACACATCTACATACCCCATGAATAAAGCGTCCTAATCTTTAGTGCTGGGATGACAACGTTGTTGTGAGATGACAAAGTCAAATGTGATATCCATAACTGCTAAATCTTTGTAGAATTGGTGCTTCTCAGGTGTCTGCTCGGAAGCTTCTGTCCTCTTCCAGAAGCACAGACAAATCAGACTGTGAAGAACTGTAGATTTTATTACTGTTGTTGTTCTTTGGACTCCATGTTATTTCAGATCTTCAGAATCTTAAAACTGGCAGGCTTACTGTTTGAATAGGTCTAAAAGTAATGGGGTGTTTTTCCACATCATAAGCTCCACTAATAGAGGTCTGTAAAACAGCACAGAAATAATAGGGAAAAACATGGGTTTCTTAGTTCTCCAGTGGTCCATCCCTCAAAGGAGATCTGTATTACATCAGGCAGGTCAAAATAAGGGGGAGGCACTGGGTACTGCTGCAGGTGGAGGGCAGCCCATTGCACTGGGCTCCACTGCAAGGAAGCAGCTCAAGGAACCAGGTAGAAAAACAGGCAAAGCTGATACAGCCGACTGATCTAGGTCTGGTGCCAGTTTAAAGTGCTCCTCCAGGAGCTCTGAGATCCCTATCGTAGATAAATTTGCCATGAAAATTATTAGCTAGCACCAGTAAACACCAGTAAGTGAATAAATTATTTTTTCCAGCCAACAGCATTGAATAATCAAGTAGAGAATATCTGACTCAGCCAGATAGTTTGATAAAAGAAGGAAATCACTTAGCAGAGCACATCTCTTCCCTTGTCTTCCTCACCTCCAAGGAACAATGGTCTGCTCTGCATTTCAGCAGCTACTTTTGTACAGAGCAGAGAGAGAAACAAAGGAAGGAACTGTGCCCGCCTGCACAGATAGTGATGGAAACATCTCAGCCAGGTCTGCACAGTTGTGGGAGTGGGTCTGCATAAAGTAGACAGAGTTCTTCAGTGAGGGAGAGGAGAGACATCATTTCCCACAGTGTTTTTGCCCAGAGGAGGGAGAATTGTTCCAATTGCTCCTGCTGCTGCATGGCTGTGCTGCTGATTGCATGCTGGTCTGCTTTGCAAGGGATGGTGCGGACTGGTTCTGGCTCAGGTGCCTTTGAGGATGGAAAAGCAGCATATCGGATGGCACACCTGTCTGGCTGCTGTCTGCTTTTATTTTTTTCCTTAATGCCACTTATACAGGAGCACCTATTTTCATTGTCCCCTCTCTTCATTCTCCTCTTCCATCATCTTCCCACTAATTTTCTGCTGCTCATACTTTACTCATGCCTAAGTTGTAGTATTTTTGTGTTTGTTTTTCTTTCTTCACCTGAGTGATGGGGGAGGAGCCACATTCAGCTCAGAAGATCTTCTGCATGGGTGACAGAACTCCTGCTCTCCTGCATCTCCATTTCCTCTCCTCTCACAGATTCATCTTTGGAGTTTATGTTTTTCCTTAGCTCTTGATCTGTTCAGGCACAAAATCAGGATGCCCCACGATGGTATCTATTTATCATGAATACTATAAATTCCAGATACACTGGGGGTATGCTGCCTATATTCAACTTGAACTTTGCAGAAATCCCTCTTTTGGTGGCAGCCAACACACTTTGCCATGCCAACAGGTGGTGGTGGTTCCCAGCTGGCCCTCTGGCATGACACACACTAAAGTAGAAAAGAAGCAGGATATGTTAGGGGGAGAGATGTGTTATGGGAGGCCACAGCTGTTGTTCTTCTGCATATCCAGATAGCTGCTGGCTGAGCTTGGAATTCTGTTTGCTTACCAAACAGGTCCTTCAGGATGGGCTGGCAGAGGGCACTGCAGGAGGGCTGCTGTGTGCTGACAGGACTGCTGCAGGCAGGCCCACTGCAAACTTTCTCAAACAGCTCTGCTGACTCACCTCAATCCCACTCCCTGGAGCTCCTTCCCCTTCCCCTGCTGAGCAGCAAGAATCTCTGAACAGCAAATATAAGGAGAGGACCAAACTGAGTGCTGAGGAATTGCAAAGTTCCTTGCAGTTGCAAATTATCTGGCTAATATGCTCTTGGCGAGTCAGCACGATCTGCAATCAAAGTGTTAGTCTTTTCTCTCAGGCAATAGCCTGAGAGACAGTGGCCTCTCAGAAGAGGTGTTGGCCAGACAGAAGATTTGTGGAGATCCCATAAGGAAGAATTTGAAGGAGAGGAGAGAGTGCAGTCACTCATCTGCAGCAATCTCTTATGACACCTCTGGCAACACAGCACCAATTTTCCTACGTGAGCATTATAATTCCATGCTACCTCCCCTTAAAAACCATTGGGTTACACACAAGAACAGGTCCAATAATGCTGCCCAGCACCCAAAAATAAGCAGAACAACGAGCTGAAAAGGTTTTTTCCTCTCTCTTGCATACACACTTGCACAGTGATAAGACGAGAAGGAATGTTTTCAAGTTGTGCCAGGGGAGGTGCAGGTTGGGTATTGGGAAACAATTATTCTCAGAAGGAGTGGTGAGGCAGTGGCACAGGTTGCTCAGGGAGGTGCTGGAGTCACCGTCACTGGAGGTGTTCAAGAGCTACATGGATGAGGCCAATAATGTGGTTGCCCTTTTGAATGGATTAAAGCAAACTCTTAAGAGGGTACATCTGGGCATGGTTCTTCAGGGCAGCAAGCAAGACAGCAGGCATTGGTACTTTCTGGTGTGTACTGCCAATACAAGGGCAATAGGGGTGGCCAGCTGGGCTGCAAACAGAGTTGCTATATGGGACAGATTCTCTTCTGGTCTTCATTGGAAACAAATCCTAACACTCTAAGTGCTTAAACTATGGTGAGTTTTTCTCCCTGTCACAAAATACTCGGGGACATTGTGGGGCAATATTAAGAAGTAATGTATGATGGCACAGTAGTATGGTTTCCCATGTGGTGCCTTAAACTTGTTTTTGCTCTGAAGGAATGGGTATGTACCCTGTACCAGATGTGGTTTGCAATAAACTAACTTTCATGCTCCTTGTTTCATGAGGCTCTTTAGAGATTTATCACTGGATCACAAGGTTCTGTATAATGCTGTGTCTCAGCAGGTTAATTTTTGAGTTTTCTGCTCCTCCTCAAACAGTAACTTCCTGATTTTCTCTCCAGGGCCATTTGTCACACAGAGGTGGATATTCTCCTGCTCCTCTTCCCTTGTGCATGGTCCTGAGGGAGGAGATGCTGGGCTGGGTGAAGTGTCCTATGCTACCCCAGATTTGTAGTTCACTATCTTAATAATGATGGTTTGTTTGCCCTCATAGCACTGAGAAGACACAATAGCTTAAAAGGCCTAGTTTTGCAAAGATGTAATTAAAACAGCCAAACTTCACATAGGCACTCTCTAAATCAGGTTTGCACTGATTGGTGTTGTTTTCACAGCACTGTAAATTGTTCGATGTTGTACAGCTATAAACAACACAAGACATGTAATACAGGAGAGTTACAAATGCTACTTGGAGCTGCCTGACTGCCTCGGTGGTAGTTCACAGTGGTTTGAACGGTTGTCCTTGGAGGATAATGCAACAAAATTTACACAGTGCTTAGCTGCAAGAGTGCTTCATTGCCAGGCCAATCATTACTTTTCCTTAGACTCTGCCCTAGGGACCAGGGTTACCACCAATACCTTTCACAGTTCCTTTTTACACAGAATGATATAACATTTTCGACTAAAATGATGCAAATGAATAAAAAAATTTTGCTCTGATCCCGTTTAATTTCAGGAGCTAAACTGAAAAACAAGATCAAATGTGATCACCTTGGATTACTTTGCCTTTGCCCATTCGGTCTGAGTGCAAGCAGCAGTGATAAAGGGAGAGCCACTTTGCAGAGTATGTACCCAATAGTGCCTAAAATACTACGGGCCTGCTGAGCCGGAGTTATAATTGGTTTAACACTTTTCTTTTTTGTCTCTCCCAAAAGAATACTAAAAGTGGGTTTTAATTTACCTTCAATTAGCATTTCCTTGGTTTTCACCCTGTAAGCTGTTAACATCTCAACAAGCTGCAGTCACTCGGTAGAAATTACACACAGCTAAGTTTTTTTTCTGCTGTACCACAGCAAGCCGTGTTGTAAAAGCTAGGAGAAATAAACACTGGTTCAGTTTGCCTTGCTTGCCATGTTGGTGAACATTACTTCTGTCTCTGTGAAAGTGTTTCAGTATGAGCCCAGTGTTGGCTGTGCGACATGCTGGACCCAAAGGGGTTGACTCTGGCTGGTGTACAAGTGCAAATTCTGCTTTCCACATGCATGATGACACTGCAGGGCACATTTCTGGGCACTCTGCAACTGGCCAGTATGCAAGCAGGAGTATTTTTTTTCTCAGGAAAGTAAATTTCTGCACAGTCAGCTGAGTGCAGCAAGTAGTGACCATGGCAGTAACAGTTTTTCTGTGGTCGTTTTCATACTTCACTTCCCCAAATCTTTGCTGGTTACCCAAAATACACATAATATGTAAAGACACATGTTATTAACTCTTTTCTTGGTTCCATGCTCCCCTGGCAGAACAAACTTGCCCAATACCAAGTGTGCATTTTCTAATGTACTTCTGCCTTCAAAAGGACCCTCCTCCCCATGCTTCCCTCAGCTGGCCAAGCTCCACTTATAACTTTTAACAAGTTCAGTGCTCTCTGTGAGATCATGAGGCTCAGGAACAATTCTTACTAAAGAAGCCTCTCTTACAGCTTTGCCACCACTTTAATTCCAGCAACACTGAGTTATGCTGCCATGAGATGAGTCAAAATGCTGTTTGCTTGGATAGTATTCAGTGACAGAGAGAAGGAAAAAGCCTATATTCTGATTGTGTGGGCTTCACAGGCTTTGACGAGTGATTCACAAGGCATAGGAGAGCTGCAGAAATTTTCTGCAGGCTCCCAAAAGCTGAAACATGCACACTGGATTGAAGCCCATAGGTGAGAGCAGAGCTCTGCTGCCCAAATGTGGAGTGCCATGCATTTTTGGGCCCTTCTAGTCTAGGGGAAATGAGGAGGCAGTTTCTCTTCCAGCTCAGGCTTCTCTTAGTCCCACCCAGGAGGGCTAGTTCTGCTGACAAAAGGTGTTCTTCCTCAAGAACATCCTGCATCTTTCTCTGCACCAAAGTCTTGATGCATGGCTGAAGTCCATCGGGGGTGTGAAACTCTCCCTCTGTTTGTCTTTTGGTGTAGCTGCACAGCTTTCACAGTAGCGCAAAGCAAATGGCTATAAGAGTCTGAAGGTGTAAAGCTGCTCAGAATGGCTTCTTGCAGTGTGGAAAATACAGAAAACCCAGCTATTTCCTGGGTGGAAGGAAATAGTGCTATAATGAATCTAACGATCTGTCCCTATTCTGGTCCAAAAAGGAAATAAAAGGAAATTCAGAGAACAGAGCAATAGACACAGCAAGCATTTTTATTGGTAAAAATTTCCAGTTAGGGCTCTTGGCAGCTGCTAATTGCCTTAAGTCTCGGTGCCAGAGAATTGAGATTTCATCCATATTTATATATTGGCTAACGTAACTCTAGAAACTCCCAACAATTCCCAACAGCCAGCTGATTGCCTAATTCTTTCTTGAATCCTGCGGAGCTCGTGGTCTTTAGGATGCCTTCTGACAGACTGTAACCACATGTATAAACACACATACAAACTATAAACACGTGCATGTGTTCTTACACAATGTGCATGTGTTTCCCTTGTATTTGTTGCATGTCTGTTTTCTTTGAACATCCCTTGTTCTTGGATTACAGATGCAAGGGATAAATAAAACCCCAACTTGTCTCCTCTGAGTCATTTAATACTTTGCATCCCTCCCAGTGAATGCTTGGACGTGGTTCTGTGCGTGTGTATACTGTAGCTGTGCAGTGTGTGTTGGTTATGAGATGTGGCCATTGTTCATTAATTCCTTTGGTAGTGTTCTCACATGTGGGAGGGACAGATGATGTGGAACATATTACTTTAGAATTGTTTCAGAACAGCATTTCGCTTAATTATGAACTAGGCAAGGGGGTGTAGAACCAACAAAGGCAAAACAGATGCTACAGGAAGGGATGCTGGGGGGGGCAAGCTATGGAATGCAGCCTTATCTCATGCCATTCCAGACAGTCGTGCTCACTTATTGGTTCAAACTCTGCCACTACAGCAAGGAATAAAATCTGCACGTCAGCAGTTGGAGTGGAGAATATTATAATAACTTCTTGGAACCAGTTGTAATATCCCTTCCTATTCTAATTGTAATATCAGAGTAATCTACACCTAGTTTCTTGGAATTGTAATATCTCCTATTCTTATTGTAATATCAGAATAATCTATGTTCAGTTTCTTAGAATCAATTGTAATATCCCCTCCTATTCTTACACGTGTATAACTTGTCTCTACAAATATGCTTAAACTGTCCCTTTATGGTGTGCAGGTTAGGAGAGGCTACTCCTTCTGCACCCAGAATGCGTATGCAGAACTGTAATTAAAAATATACCTGCTTTATAATCACTTCGTGGTTATGGAGTCAATTCAGTATTGGTTGCAAGATACAAAAACATCAGTGCTATCCAGGTGATTTCTTTCTTAACCTGACCTGTCTCCACACCACACCAGAATCTGGTGGTCTGGAATGGCAGATTTAAGCAGGTAACTGTCACCTTGGCTTTTTTGTTGGTTCACCTAGAAACAGAATGTTTGATGCTGGGTGGAGCTGAACAGAACTAATGTACATCTAGGATTTTTGGAGCGCTGGAGAGCATGTTTGCTCATTTTGCTTTGTTTTTCGTTTTCCAGCTTCTCAGTTGCACCTGTGAAAGAAGTAGCTTCATTCAGCCAAGTGTGGTATCAGTAGTCTTTGGTGGGTAGGGAGATGACCGGGCAGAGTGACAAGGTGGGCTGCTAGAGAGATCACACTCTAAATTCCTGCTTCCTGCAAAGGAAGAGCTGAAGAGAGAAGGAAGAAACTACAGAAAGAGGTTGAAGGGAAATCTGGATTATACATTAAGACATTGATTACCTATTGGTTTGAAGAAGGCCTGAAGGTGAGGAATTGCTGGCTAAGGGAGAAAGTAGTATATTGGTTTTGTGATAATGGAGCGTTGGAGGGTCAGACCCGTTTTTTCTCATCATTTGTTGTATGCTTGATGGCTGTTTGTAAAACCTACAGAGAGCTGCCAAGCTCTGACTTTTACAAATTGGGTATACCCGTGCAGTCCCTTCCCCAGTCCTTTCCCAGCATCCCCAGGTGAAGCACAGAACATGCCGAGGGATCAAGCAGGCCTGGTGAACCTGAGTGGACACTTGCATGAATAGCTTGCATCAAGGCTGCATGCATCAAGGTGACATTTCCTTCTCCTTCTCTGGGTTGATCCCAGAGAAGAAATAACAGGCAAAAAACACAGGGAGAGAGACTAATGAGACTGCAAAGTCAGAGTTTGCAAGACCTGGCCGTGATGGGCACATTAAAGATATATCCATTAGTCTCTTAGTAAGATTTTACTTGGAATCTGCAGGCATTTGAGTCACTTCTGGTAATCACATTGTCTTATTCTTGCTTGTAACCATGCTTGAAAACTGTGAAGAGGTGCAGAGAAGCTCCAGCACTTGGTCTGAAGGATTGATGTTGGTGTTCCGTGTGAAAGCATAGCTCCTGTTGAGGTTGGTACAGCTGAAGAGAAGACACAACACTATAGGTGTTTGCCTTATGTTTGTCATAGGGAACGAAGGAAAAGGGTTGTAGGAGAAGCCTATCCATCCATACGGATAATGCTGAAACTAACTCAGAATGTTTTGCTGTGGCACCATCATCTGTTACACTTCTTCAGGAACCAGAGAGCACAAAGTGCCTTGTCTGTGTCCTGTGTCCTCTGTCTTTCATCCAACAAGGAGGAAGCAGAGTGAGATGATGTGAGAGACCTAGAGGCAAGCTGCCCTCTGTGCAGGCAATCTCCCAGAATGAGACTGTGTACAACACCCCCAAATCATCTCTTTGGTTTGCAAAAGACCATGTTGTTCCTGTCCTGAACTGAAGCCTCTCTGTCATTGCAACAGCATTGCGTAAGATTTACAGTAGGTTACACGCATTCTTCTGTTGACTGTGCACATACAAAGTTTCAAAGCCAGTAACAGGTCTGAACATAGCTGGCAAAGTGGGTGGGCACAATGAAGCATTCTGATCCAGTTTCTTGCCCCCAAAAATGCAGGAAGTTGTTCTGCAGGAAGAGTACAATGTAGCAACGAAATGGAGCTTAAGCTAATGCTTCACTTGGATGTGGCCTCTAGTCTAACTAGTTCAGGAACAAAAATAATTATCCTTGCACTCAGCAGGTAGGGCAAGAATATGTGGAAACAGGAACACTGTTTTGAGCATTCAGTGCTGTATTACCTCAGTTGCTAAACTGCTTCACAGAAATGGTGCTATATACCCTGTTTCATAAAAAAAAGGGGCATTGCCTCTGCTTTGCAGTCACAGCCGAAGGTATCTCATACAGCAAGATTAGGCACTGTTTCTCACTGCTGCCCCACTTGCCTTCAAAGGTTATGTTATATACTACCTGCAATGGATGGAAGTGCTGTGTCTTCATCTGTCTCTTTCTTTCAGGGCAGATTAGCAGTACCTTCAAGAAAGAAATCTGGACTTCGGACATGTCAGACCCTGCTGGGAAGGGACAGGAAGGAAATTCGTTTCTCTTTGGACTTCATTGTGCAGTCCCAGTGTTAAAGACAGTGAGGATGCTCTGACTGAATTCCAAAGCTTTCAAGTACATCTTTTCTCTCTCTCTCTCTCTCTCTCTCTCTCCTTTTTTTTTTTTTTTTTTTCTCTCTCCTAATGCCTACTGTTAAACATGACTTTGCAGATTCATGAGAGAGTTTCTCGGTCCTCCTGTTGAATTCTCTGGAGCTGCTTCAGAAAATGAAGTCTCCATTCTAACTCTCTTAAAAGGATAGGCATGTTTCTGCCAATGCAAAGGTTGCTATACTCCTGTTTGTGCCACAAAAATAGGAGAAAAAAAGTGCTCTGGAAAATATACAGCAGGAGTCCTATTCTAACACTCTTATTATTTAGCTGGGTGTTGTTTGAAAACAGCGATATTTTATTGCCTTCAGTCAGATGATGGGGTAATGAAATCTTTGCCTATTATTGTGGCAAAATCTGCCTTTGAATTAACATGATGATTGAGAAGAAAGGTGGTGTTTATGTTGTAATGACGTAATTACCACTAGCGCATCATTCCTCTTGTAAAATATCAATGTATCTGTTTCCTTACAGAATGAAGAGGCATAAGTTTCCCTACAGGTGTCCCACAAGAAAGAAGATTCTGATCCTGTGTTTTACAGGGTGGGTGATTGCACTCCTGAAGCTCCTCCATGTTGAAAGACACTTTTTTCCACCTAAGAGTATTTATCTGGTCGAGCACTTCTTGAGCACTTCTTCATATGTCAGAAACAGATATTCCTATCTTAGAAACCACTTCCAGTATGAAATTAACTGTTCGTCTATCTATGAGCAAGATCCTCAGGAAATTGGCAAGAGTTTAGAGATAAGAAGGAAAGATATAATTGATTTAGATGATGAAGATATCATTGCAATGACAAATGATTGTGACAGGTATCGTACCCTGAGGAAATACCACCTGATACCTGTTTCTCCAGAGGAAGAGAGTTTTCCAATAGCCTATTCTTTTGTTGTCCACAAAGATGCAGTGATGGTTGAAAGGCTCATACATTCACTGTACAGTCATCAAAATATATACTGCATTCACTATGACCGAAAAGCAGCAAAAAGTTTTAAATCTGCTATGAACAATCTAGCTAAATGTTTTCCCAACATTTTCATTGCGTCAAAACTGGAGATGGTGAACTATGCACATATTTCAAGACTGCAAGCAGATTTAAATTGTTTGTCTGATCTGATGAACTCTGCGGTCCCCTGGAAGTATGTTATTAACTTGTGCGGCCAAGATTTCCCTTTGAGATCAAATTTCCAGTTGGTTGCTGAACTGAAGAAACTCGGTGGGGGAAACATGCTGGAAACTATAAAGCCCAGTAGTAGCAAAAAAGAACGATTTACTTATCATTATGAACTTATGAAAGTGCCTTACGAATACATGCAGATGCCTGTGAAAACCAACATTTCCAAGAACCCACCACCTCATAATATTGAGGTATTTGTTGGCAGTGCCTATTTTGTTTTAAGTCGAGCTTTCATTCAGTACATCCTTAGCAGCTCTCTTGTAAAAGACTTTTTTGATTGGTCGAGGGATACTTACTCTCCAGATGAACATTTCTGGGCCACTCTTGTGCGTGTTCCTGGTGTGCCTGGGGAAATTTCGAGGTCTGCCCAAGACATCACAGACTTGCAGAGCAAAACTCGTTTGGTGAAATGGAATTATCTTGAAGACCATTTGTATCCTCCATGCACTGGTACCCATCTTCGTAGCGTCTGCATCTATGGGGCTGCAGAATTAAGATGGCTTATGAATTATGGGCACTGGTTTGCCAATAAGCTTGACTCCAAAGTAGATCCTGTCCTGGTAAAATGCTTGGCAGAAAAACTGGCAGAACAACAAAAAGAGTGGGTTTATTTGTCTTCTGACAAACATTTTCTGCGTATCAATCCTGCAAATGCCTCTCTATAGCAATGCTGTTTTTCCAGCTGCTGGTACTGTGTACTGCTATAGCTTGGTGCCTGGGATTCTCCAGCCCTGACCTGCTGCAGAGGAGTTCCTTCTGCATTAAGTTCAGGACTTTGAAGAGAGAGGTATCTGGAAACAATCTGTGAAATTAACAACTCTCTGGTTGACTGTTCTTTAACTTGCCACAACAATCCCATAACTATTCTTCAAGGTGATTCTGGAAGCGTAAGGCTTGCTTTTGGAAGCCCTGGTACTATTTACTCTAATGGAATACTTCAGAAACCTGTTTTACATTGTGTGTTTGTGTCTTTCCTGAGAAACCCCACCATGCTTGTTCGCCTGTCCCCTTTTCCTGCACTTTTTCAATAAGGTATGAAACAAAGACCTCTGCATCTGCTACCTCAGGAAAATTGGAAGTGCCCAGCTTGCAGACACAATTAAGAGAGCAGTGTGACTGCTGCAGCCTGGAGTGCCCCTCTTTCCACCTGCAGGTGCTGACAGGGCTGCAATGTGAACTCTTCTGGATGCCACAAGGGAAGAAGTTACCCTTGGATGCCACAATAGCATTGTGTCCTTCTCCCAGCTTGGCTGTGCATGGTTTGTCTTTCTGTGTTTGGAAGTGTGCTGTGCCTGTGGAATGGGTGGTGGTGGATTGAAGCAATCTGTGTGAACACATGTGAATAATGCTCTACTGTTCTTCAAGGGCAGTACAGGTAACCATGCCAAACGATGTCTGCCTTCGTTTCTATCCCTGCCAGTAGAAATATCCTCCTGTGAAATCCCAGTTCTTCTGAGACAGGATTTTTACATGTAATGAGTAACAAGTGCTATTTATAATCAGTATTCAGCTTGGTGGTGCTATGCTGAAATGCAAAACACTCAATGTCCAGCAGCAATCGTACGAACAGTCACACTGCAGATAGGAAGGCCTTGCATATGCATCCATGGTCCCAGGCTGATCTGTGCCCAGAGAAGTTCTGCTTCAAAGCACGTTAGCATTGAAGTAGCTGTGCCCCAAGGCAGCCCATGCTGCCCATGGTCCCCACCATAGGAAGGGGCTGAGCAGCCTCCTCTCAGCTGGGCTGTCATGTAGTATGAGCGAAGTGTTGGTCAGCACAGAAACTTTGTGACTAAGAAATGCCCTTTAGCATTTCTGGGGATTCTCCACAATTTTGCTATGCCACCAGCTCGGTTTTGGTGGTTCCAGTGGGTGTTGTGGTCGTGCTTGCTCTGTGCTACTGTGCCATTTCTGGATATCTAGCGCTTTTCAAGGTATCCTGTGTTACTGATCCTTAGATTGCCACAACAATGCCATGTGGCCACAAGAAAGCTTAGTTTCTTTTTTGAGTTTTAGGAACCAACTCATTCCTTTGTCTCTGTTTTTCGAAAAATCAGTTTTTTAAAATTTAATCATGGTCAACATGCTTGTGGCTTGAGATCGGGCTTGAATGAAGAGTCCATACCTTTTCCCCATTTGTGACACTGATTTCCTTTGAGCCTTCAGACAAGTCATCTGACTTCTGTTCCAGCTGTAAAACGGGAACAACAATGCTCTGCTACCTTGTAAAGCATTTAGAAACCTATGGATGTTTGTTGTGGGCTGGTTGCACAGTACTATTTGTTCATCAAAGCTATTTATGATTAAGTCTGTGTGTGCACAAGTTGAATATTTCTCTTATTTACTGTTTCTCAAATAAATGGGGATTATTTTTTATGTGTATGCTGCTTACTTTGGTGACTTGCTGCATCTCACAGCTGACTTGATGCAATTTATAGATATTTTGCAGAATATGGAACATTGACAGTATTTACAGATTCACACATCAGTACTAATATACAAAAAACAGGCTTTTCACGTGGAAAGAGGTTAATAGCAGAAGATATTGGGATGCCAGAGGACCAAGCCTCAGCCAAGTCAAGCAAGCCTCAGTGCAAGTAAACTGATGTATAATTAGTTAGCTGATGACTTTTGATGTATAATTAGTTAGCTGATGACTTTTTACTTATATGTAAGTACATACTCACATTCTCATTTGTGTTTGAGTTATTTGCTCTATCATAAGCTTATAAACAAAACCCATCAGCATAACGAACTTAACTGAATTAAATAATTTTGATCAATGTGCAACTCTGTGCTACTTCAACTGAATTGGGTTGAACAATGTCTTTGATTTAAGTAGTCTGAAATAAGGCAGTGCTTGCTTCCTAGGTAACAAAGAAGTGAATGCAAAGATGACGTAAAGTGAGGCACCATCACCTGCTACAGTGCTAGGTCTGCTAGCTGGAAAAGTACAAGTTGTATATGGTTTCTTCTTTATGAAATGCAAATTTTCTAATGAATTATAAATATATCTATTTTTGAAGGTAGTTTTAAAGGCTAATAAAAACTGTAGAAGGTAGTTCTCAAAATCATTAATGCTCATTCAGGCTAAAGATAATCTAAATCACTCTTTTGAGGCAACACATCCCAATTTTCCTGGGTTCAAAATTTGCTAAAAATATAAGTTCTTTAATGTTTGAATAACATTATGTTTGAATTCTGTTTTGTTTTGGTTTTTTCTTTGCTGTTAGCAGCGTAGATGCAAAGTTGATGTCTGTATCATAGTTCAGATCATATAAGTGATTACGTAGTGCTGTTGGGGAACAATTTAATTATTTGCCTTTGATTTCACCACCTTTGTTCTTTACACAGGTAGGTCTTTCTTTGCTAAGTCATGATCCGTAAATACCTTTCTCTCAGTGAGAAGAGCAACTGAACATAGCTTATGGGAGAAAAAAAGTTATCTGATTTGGGCTGCAACTTTGATTATAGGCAATGATCTGTTGCTCTCTGATCTTTCTTTGCCTTACTAAAGTCCAGATTTGCCTTTCTCCTTTCCTCCTCTCAGTCTTCTTGCTAGTTATTTCTTAAACTTGAAATGCACATATGTTTGCCATGTCAGATAGTTCACTCTCTCTTTGTTTTGCTCAAGATGCTCCACACTGTCCTTTTTCCACCCATCCAGTCCCTTGCTAGCTGCACAGTGGATTATCAGTTCACTTCATCTTCCTATGCAGGAAGGATGTGAAAGCAGGGCATTAATGTTGTTCCTGCTGTCAGTACAGGTACAGCCTGCTGCTTTATTAGTGGCTGGAAACAGCTGCTGGATGTGTCCTAACATGAAAAGTTAAGTAAAGAGCAGTGAGAAACAATGTGCTTTAAAGTAAGAACTGTGGGACATTTGTGCAACTTGACTCACTAATGAATTTCTTAGACTGAACACAGAGTTGAGGGGGGGCAATACAGAAGAACTAATATTTCACTGTGTATTTTCCTCGATGTTAGAATAAAAGACTGTGAAAGGAAATACTACAGTTTAGACACCTAATCTATAATTGTAATTAGAAAACACTCGATCAGTTGAGCATTTCTGCAGATACTACATCACTGCTGCGACATGCGAGGCAGAATGTACGACAGTGAGAAAAGCAGTTTTGTGACAGCAAATGAAGAGCTTAAGTGTCATCTGTGTATTTATGGTGTGATCTCAGATTTTAGTCCAGGTACAATGTCTGTCTGTGATGTGATATGGTGATAGTTCCCCATTTCACTGAAAGGCAAGTGCAGAACAGTGTTATCCATTAATGACACAGTAAACCTTCTCTGGAAATACCCCAGCACTGTTTGGTCTCTCAAGCCAATAGCTGTATGCTATTCTTCCCCCCTTCTTTCCACGACTACCAGGCTTTTTGAGTTTCCCATGGCTAAACTACACTAATCCTTAGAGCAGCAATCCTTTTTAGAGTGGAGGGAAAGTAAATACCATGCAGCTTTGGACTGGAAATTTTCTCAAATGAAATAGAAAAGAGCTAGAAGGCATTTTGGGAAGGAAGATGGAGAAAATATGTTTCCTTACTACAGAACTGCCACATATGTGTCTTAGCAAAGAATGGCTTAAGTGGAAGGTACCTACAGCACGGTTGCTGCTGCCATCTCTGATAAAGATAATCAAGACTTGCATTAAGTGTATTTTGAAAATGAAAATCATTGAAGAGAAAATGCTCAGAGCTTCTTTCAGCTTCTGTTCCTGTAAGAAATGTGTACTTAGAAAAATACTGAAAATGTACTGCAGCTTGACTAGTTAGTAACTCAGTACTGTGATATTTGCAACAGGAAGGGTAGGAAAAAAAGAGTCTGTGAATTCTTTGCTCAAGGCAGGTCAATGGTTTTTAATGATATTTTCAGTGTTATTTCTAGAAACCAATTTAAACATGTGCTAATGTGAAAAATATGTGACTGACTTCTGCCTTGCATCTCAAGTGTTAGCTGTAACACATTCAAGTTTATTTTAGAAAGTCTCTTCTCTGGGCTACAATTAAGAGACTTTGTTGTGATTTAATTAAAATTCCTATTGCTGAGCACTTTTTTACTGCTTGAATTTGTTCTCTGAGACTGAAAGGATGGCAAGTCTAAGCTTTACCCAGGGTGATGAGAAAGAGAATAGAGAGTACGCTGAGATTCTGCAGGTGACATTACTATCACCACAGCATAGCAGCTGGGAAATCAGAACTTCATCATTGACAATAAGGATAAAGGCACCATTTCTTCACAAAGCTAGCAGGGACTGGAAATCATACAGTTGGAATGACTACTTGCATATATTTTAGCACTAAAATGTTGATGACTATGGGAAACAAGGCCTTCCTGTACAAAAAAGACCTAGTCATGCAGAAAGAGTGGAGGTCTATCAAGATGATGATGGGACAGGAGCATCTTCCCTAGGAGGAAAGGCTGAGAGATGTATAACTGCTCAGCTTGCAGAAAAGGAGGCTCAGGGGAATCTTACAAAAAATACCTAAAGGGAGAGTGCAAATAAGACACTGCCCAGAGCCAGGACAACACAAACTGGAACATGGGAGCGTGAACACCAGGCAGCACTTCTATGCTATGCGAGTTCTGGAGCACTGGCCAAGGCTGCTCAGAGGCTGTGGATTCTTTTCCTTGGAGATTTTCAGATGCTTCCTAGTCATGAGCCAGAGCACCCAGATCTGGGTGTTTCTGCTTGAGCAGTGGTTGGAACAGATGGACCCATAGGTTCCTTCCAACATGAACCTGCTGTGATTCTCTGACTCTATGAATAACATAGGCAGATCTACATCTTTCTCTGACAGACTAAAATATTAGCTGTAGACAAAGAATTACAAGATTTTGCAAGACATTTAGCAGAAAAGTAGAAGTACTATTCCTGCAAGAAGTCCAAAATGGCAGAATTGATGGCATCCTGTTTTTATTTTCTCTAAGAGTTATAATAGTCCCATGTTTCCTGTGGTTTGTTCTTATCTTTTAATAATGCAGTCCCAGGTCCTTTGTGTCCTCAAGATAACTATACCAACTAAATTTTGCTTCTCAATTCTTCTGAGCTGCTCTGGAGTGCTTTTCTTCCAACAACAGCTGTAAGGGCTCCTCATACAATCAATGTGTAGAATGGCTGAATTTCTGTTGAATAGGCATTGCTGGGACATGTGCATTTCCTTAGCTACTCTGGTCCTGAGCTGGTACAAAACTTAGGAGCTTCCGTCTGCTTGTCTTTCAAAGAAAAGTAATCCTTTGTTCCTATGCCTTCCAAGCAACCTCTTTTTCTTTCCTCATATTCTGCTTGGTAGAGGCAGAGATATGTATTAAAAGCCCGTATCAAGAGGATGCACCCAAAGAAGCACAATCATGTACATCATTAGAGAATGGGAAGAAATGCTTAGAAAATTCAGGAAATTGAATAAATTATGTTCTGGGTACAGAATAGAAATAAAATACACACAGCTATTATCATATGCAGCCAGTTCGAGAGTTACTTCTCTGACCTGACTGCTGCATTTGTTTAAAAAAAAATATATATATATCAAGTTCTTATTTTCAAGCTTTTGCTTAACTAGAATGTGAATACCAGCACTTGGCAAAGCTTAATCCCTTTTTTGGCAAAATAGAGATATACTGTGCAAAACCATGAACAGTTTAGACAGTTCATTATTTTGCTAGGCCTCAGTTTCCAGCTTTGAGGTAAGACAGAAAAAAAAATGTTAGGGAAATAAACAGAAAAGCATCTCTCTGTCCGTAAAAAAAAACCAACACATCCCCTCAAGGATGGGGCTGCCTCTCAACAAACCAAGCTGGAGCAGGAATCAGCTCACTCAGCCAGCAGAGCAAACAACTGCCTCTTTCACTTCCTCAGAGCCTATCAGGATTACAGCTCTCAAAACCAGTCAGCTAATTGTATTATCTATGTTGAACTCGTTGAATTAAGTCTGTAATCTTGAAGTTCTCTCTTGTGGCTTTCTTAAGTGAAGATATATTTAAAATCTCTGTGCACTTTGGGAATAGATGCAGTAGGTCTTGTACTAAATGCCTTGTCCTTACCTGAAATCATGGCAGCCAACTCTGATTCTATAGTCATAATGCCACAAAGAGCTGAAGATATGAAAAATGAGTCATCCTAACATAAAGTAGTTGCAGAATTTTGCTTCTCTCTGGTCATCAGGTGCAAAGCTGTATATCCAGTTTCAGCAACCTTAGGCACATCATAAATCCAAATTGCAAAATGTGAAGTTATTAATATAAACTTACCCAGAGCACTTACCTGGCAAGTTTTGTTTCAGTTTCTGTGAAAGGAGTTACTTTTGGTTGCTGGGCAAATTACACATCACAGAGGTGCCCCCTTCCCCATCTGACACCACTGCACC